AATGAGTTGGCAATTGGGTTGTAGTGGGCTAAATGGGAAATAAATAATGAAAATTTGAAGCGACAGTAGCCTAATGACAGGGTGCGAACCGCGAACTCAAAAGGTCGTGGGTTCGAATCCGCCATTCGACTACTGACGTGAACCACTCGTAATACAAGCAATTTAAGCTTATCACGAGTGATTAAGGGGAATATTAGTAATGTTTATAGCATTGTTAATATTCTTTATAAAAAAAAAATAGAAAACAACGTGTGTCGTGTCACACTGTAATTTAAAGTAACAAATTGTAGACCATAGATTTAGTACAAACTGATGATAGAAGTAATCCTATATTATTATAACATTTAACCCTTTTGATTTGACTGATTGAAATGTTTAGCTGTCTAAGTGCATTAAGGCAAAAACTACAACACATCCATTCATAAACAATTATTAATAAAATTACGTATTCAAACTTATTTTATTATAAGAATAAAGTACATTATTCTTATAATAAAATAAGTTATACAAGAATAAAGTAACATTGCAAAATATCTTTAAAGAGAGCTCGCAACATTTTTACAATAAACTTTTTTTATTTTTGGAGGATTAAAAAATGACTTCCAAGACTTGTTTAATACCTTTTAAAAAAACTATTTTTTTATATACATATACATCTTGCCAAGCATATTATTTGTAAGCAAAGTTTCTTTCGGCGAATTAATATTATATTTTTTTGAAGTTTATGTATGAACTTAGTGGTTTCTGTTCTAGCTGAGAGGTCGGTAAGATACACAGAGTACTTTGAATAATTCGAAATAGAGTTGGCAGTTAAGTAATGCGACTCCAGCGCCCACTACATTTCTGTGTCCGAACTAAAAATATATTGAATATACATATAACTACGTATAATAACATGAGTTGCATATATAGAGGTCTACTTTTATTTATTTACTAGGAGTAAAGTTAATCTTGCTCAAGTCTATGTTTATTAATAGGGCTGTAGGAATTTATATTATCGCAGTCACCTCGTTTTTTGGCTCTAGAAAATCGATAAATCATCCGATTTCGAAAAATTTTTTAAAATCTTCGTCTTAATGGCGAATTTTCGAAAAAAATATGGAAAATATCTCACCTCGGGAGAGAGTTGGGGGAGGGAAGCACCACGCCACTCAACGTAGCGCAGTCTAGGAAAGCCCAGTCGACGGAGCTCATATATTTATTTGTTTAGAAGTTTATTTTTTCTTTTTAAGCAATAATTAAAGGCTTGAGATTGCATTATGTCACCTTTATCAACATCAATTCTTGTCCCTTTTAATATTTTATTTATATTATATTGGCCCAACTATGTAGAAAGAATCTGCAAGTAATATCTAATATATATTCTATAATTTCTTTTTTACGTGTCACACAAGTTAGGAAATTGAAATGGCAAACTATACACATAATTGTTTTAAATAATTTTTAATGTTATCCAAATTACTATTAGCCCTTAAGATATAAGTCGCATCTTGAATGGACGAAAATAAATGTATAAATTCTTGAGATGGATGTGTCAAGCTCTTATGTTCTTTGTAATAATCTTTTAATCTAATGTACTCACTGGATTTCTTTTGATGACACAAATTTGTCACGCATGTTTTACATTTTAAAAATTATTTTTTTATTTTTAAGTACATATCCAATAATATATTCTAATTGTGCCTTAATTTTAGGATTACTTAGTTTAATGTTATTATCTATATGTATCTATGTATATTAATATCAGTCAAGATATCGTGGTTATTAATATGATCAATATTTACTTCAGTTGTAACATTATTGTTTGTGTTTTTTTACTAAAAAAAAGTAACTTGTACAATGACTTCTATGGTTGGCAGGAATCTTTCTCACAGTTGGCCCCTGGTGAATGCGAGTTATTTAAATTGTTTACTAATAGTGGCACCCCACACTAATTATATTCCCACACTAATGATGGGATGATGTTGGAGTTAACACACCTAAAACAAATTTACCACATCTTTTCTTATTATTTTCATAGCTCCCATTTAAAGAGTCGAAGAGTTCATCAAAAAATAATAATGTGTCGGCAGTATCCTTGCAGTCATTGGATAGAATTCCTTTATCTGGAAAAAAATTAATGATAAAATTATTAAACGGTTAAATTAATAATAAAACTACCTTTACAAAATATATTTATTTATTTGGCTAATGTATCTCTCACATAAATTACCTCATGGGCAGTACATTTGCCATAGTTGCCATGCTTGATTGGCAACCACAGGATTTTTTTTATTTATTATTATTACATTATTTCCCTCTATCACCTTTTATGACACCCACAGAAAAATATGGGATAGTGAAGATTTTTACACCACTACAATGCTCCTATTCATTTGCAAGAATGAATATAAAATTTGTTGGTTAGTTGAGTTGAGACACTAACAATGTACGAGCCCATTTTATAGATTTGCAAATGACAATAATGCAACAATGATTTCTTCTGTTTTTGACACATATGATAGTTATAAATATCATATTCATAATTAAAATCAGATTAAATGAAAATTTTTGAATAAAACTCGACGCAAAGTGGAGATGACATACTCTGCGATACTTTAATATATTGTCATCGTTCATTGCTAAAATGTCTCCACCAATGGCATACACCCAAGAACGAAATCGATCAGCTTGTTTGCTTGGGTGTGGAAATATATTTTATAACATTATCTGATAACAACAAATAAAAGTATTATTATATAATGCTAATTTAAAACGAGATTTTCAATCCTCTTATATTGAGTGGATATGAATAAGTTTTAATAGAAATAAGTGATTTCATGCTTAATAAAACATTAAATAATTTATTCTTTTGTTTTGTACCTTAAAAATGATTTATATTTATTTATGAACAACACATAAAACTAACCTGGTACATGTTCAGGCTATCGCAATTACAGCGATGTTTAAACAAATAATATCAAGTAGGTTTTATTTTTGTACCTTGTAATAATTTTATGATATAAATACTTACGGTTTCTGTTGCAATTAGGTACACAGCATCTTTTTTCAGCAGTCATGGTAAATTTCGACAGAATCCAAGTCTTAAGGCAATCCAAAATCCGAAAAGAAGTGAGTTAACGTAAATAGATTCTAGGTACGAAGTCCAAAAAGCAAGCCAAAATATCGAACCACAAAAATCCCCAATTACAAGGAAAGGAACACATTCACGTAAATCGTAAACAAATTAACAAGTGTCAAACGGAATGAATTTGAACTGGTTTCCAAGATGGCGGGCAAAGCGAAAAAATGTGCCCTCTGGGGCTTAATGTTTGAAACATAATCACATCAAAAACACACAATGTATAGAAATGATAGGCCCCTGGCACAGCGGTGACACTCCCTGTACGTGAGAGCTTAAGCGCCGGTGACCTTGAGTCGAAGCGTGTAACGCTAGGGTTGATATCGAACCGAAATGGAATATTATACCAAAGAAGATACATAGAAGGTATATGTTACATATTATGTAAACTTATGTATTTAGGTAGTGAAAGATACGTTCAATTTGAAATCAACTTTTATTAAATGAGGAATATTAAAACTTCCGACAAAACCAAATATGCACGACAGTTAATGGTAATCTTAAATAATTAACCAACACTTAGTATTTTCAGTACGCAATAATCAGTATTACCTACTATTCTTTAAAAATAATCTACTCTTATATATTTTTGAATTTTTCGATTAATTTTTTAATTTTCATTATTATTTCTAACAATTGCAAAAATTCGTAGCATATATATTTTTTTTTAGAAAATCCAAAGGTATGCAGGTTTCCTGGGACATGGCGGCCAACAAATTGTTCCCTATGTGTTGAGGGAGATAAGTCATTTTTATTTCTAATGAAATAATCCATAAATACAACAATGAACAAATACAAAAACTCTTTATAGATATCTAAAATTTCTTGACTCTCTAGTGGTATTTTTAATAGTGTATATTTCAGTTAATGTAATATAATAAAATTATTGGCGATATATTAGTTTTATTGTCATGGTGTTTCCTTATAATTCTTGTTAAGATCATATCGACTTTCATTAAAATGAGTTCACATATTTTAGGTATCGGTTATAAAACATTATTAAAAATTAAAGTAACAAAACAAGGGCCCTTGTTTTGTGCAGTGGAATTTATTTTAATTTTTATCACTTAAAATCAATTTCGGTAATACTTATACATATACTATAATATCATTTATTTAATAACAACATTAATATTTATCAAAGCATATAAACCGGCTATAAAAACTAATAACGTTACTTGGTAACATAAACTTAATACCTACATGAATAGAATAGTAATATGTACATTAAGATATCAGTAATATTCATATATTAATTGAAATATTATAATATCACTTGACGAATATATTCATATTAACTAATACTGATAAACATCGGTATTACTACTAGCCCTCGGCCAGCGGCTGCAGTCTCGACATAGATAGCAACTCCATCGCAAACTACCGATCGCTAAATAATAACAACAATAATTGCTTGCCGTAACGATGCTTACAATAAATGCAAGTCTCTACAGCCGAAATTCCGTCCAAGATCGTTAATTATGTTGTTGTTACGCTAACGAAAAACGTATTCATAGTGCGGGTTATCTTAAAAAAATGTTGGCTGTTAAAAAATAATAGGGAAAATTTGCAGACATAATTTTATAAAAATAATTGCTTTTCTTTGAAAATTGTACAGAAATAGAAGAAACATTTTCTTATAAAAATATTTTGTATGTAACCTTACAAGTAGCTTTTACCGTTTCTAAGAATTGAACTAACTTGTTAAATATCAAAGGACATAAAAGTTTGCCTCCTTGCAACACTATTACATGTCTGTCTCGGTTTGACAACGCTGACATTACCTACATATCATTTATTATAAGCTACGCATTTTATAAAACATCATATATTTTAGTATATAAAATATAGTTTATATAGTAAATATAGTATATTTTCAATGGTGGGTGACAGTGACGCAGGCGCAGGCCCGGTTTCGAGCTGCGTTAAGTAAGTACAACCCGAAAAGTATAACTGTAATTATATGTGCACACCTATTTCGAATCTATCGTTGTTTATTGAATGGTTTGTTTAGAGACTGTAATTTTTACAATTTGAATATTTACTTCTATGTACGTTTCAGACGTAAGCGTACATCTCGAGTCACGAGTGGGCAGCTTGAGATATTATTGTCCAAGCTGGAAGCTAGTCCACATTTGTACACAAGAAAATTTAGTGGCCTGCACGGCAAGGAATTTTTTGAAAAGGGCTGGAGGGAAGTTGCCGACGAGCTCAACCAGCTTCCCAACGGATCCGTCAAGACGCCTGAGCAGTGGATAACAGTTAAGTTTCTACTAAAGAATTTTTCTGATTTACTACTAATGGCTTATACATAAATCGGCCAGCACATTATGCAGCGCCAGTGTACCTAATATTTACTTAAAATGCATAATTATTTATTTTGTAGGTATGGAGAGACTTCAAATACCGGGCCTGCACTAAAGCGGCAAAATTAAAACGAGAAAGAATACGGACCGGCAACCAAGGCATCACCACTGCTCCACTGACTGAGGTGGAAAAAAAAATTGTGTCGCTAATAGGTGTTGAATACACATTTGGCACCGACTGCCCTGACTCTATGCCAGAGGAAGAAGTGAGTTCAGTAGTGTGTAATATATACTATTAATAATCACATATACAATTTCATATACTTAATCAAACTTCATAAACATAGTTTTTGGTTTTAATGCAATTTACAATAATAAATAGTTGTACTAATTTTTATAGACATTACAACATGAGGTGGAGGCTGGGGTAGAAATGGTAGAAGTTGTTTGTTTGTCTCAAGGTAAGTTTTTAAGATATATTAAAAATATTATGTAAATTCTGTTGCAATTTAAATGTATTTACCTACAATGTATTAAAACACAAATTTTAATTACAGGTAATGAATGCCAGTTGCTTGAGATTGAGAGAAACAAAGCATCGCCAGCACCACAAATTAGTAAGTTTGTTATTTTTATTACACCTACATTCATACCTCTCTACGTGGTAATATTTCACTAATATGTTTAATGTATTTGATTATTTCAGTAGCAAGTGGCAGCAGAGCCACACCTGTTGCTTCACCAGCACCCAATCAGCAACAGGTGCAAGAAGTAACTCTGCAGTCAGCAGCACCACAAATAAGTAAGTTAGATCTTTGTTATTTATATAATTCTTATTTACATACATTATATATTTGTGCTCCGCTGTTTTATCCACTATTTCAAGATAAAATGGTCTATGTGCCAAATTTTATATAGATCTTCCGCTGTTTTAGTGTGATTAATAAACAAACAAAAATCTTTGCAAATATTCACCTTTATACTATTAAATTAAAATTGTGATCATTTTATGTGTATTATTTCATTACTTCAGCAGAGAGAGGCAGCAGTGCAGCAGCTCTCATCACAACACCACCCACTGTACGACAGGAGAGGCCCAGAAGGATAAGGAGTAAGCTTAAATTTCAATTAAGTGCTAATAATATAAACATTAGTTCACAAGATGATCAGCTTGAGCAGAATAAAGCCAAAAATTATTTTAATTACAATACAATAAATTTTGGGTATTTTTAGATCTGAATCCTCGCCGATCTACTGCCGAGCAAGCGAATATAGCTAGGGAGGATTTCCTGGCAGTTGCAAAATCTAATGCAGATTCAATGAGGGTATGTTATAACATCACATCTACATTCTGAACTAAACAGAAGAAAAAATCAATATATTTTTACGTGGTAGAGCCATGCTGCAGTTATGTTAGTAGTATAGTCGTAGCAAGGGGCCGGCTCGACTGGGGAAGCACCACGCCTATAACCACAATAAGTGGAGTGAACCGGAGACCCTAACCTAAACCCTTGACTGGTAATGAGGCATTCCATTTTAGTCCTCGGGGGTGACAATGCATCTGCATTTAGATTCTTAGTGGGGGGTGGGGGGAGATGTAGACATAGACATGCGTCAAGTCAAAACATCAGATGCTCGTGTGGCTTATTTTGTTAAAAAAAATGTAAACTATTGTTGATCTGTCAATAGATATTATAAGCTACAGCATACATTATCTTATTTGAGGCATCCTAAAAAGTAATTTTTAATATCTATTAAGTTAAAACTACTTTGTAATATTGCGCTTAATTGGCACTTCATTTTCGTTCAACAACTGAACCAAATTCATTGTATACTGAACTAGGTAATTATGTTCCTAATTGAGACTTGATTTTATCATTGGGACTTCCTAATATTGTAACAAGAACAATATGATGAATGCTCTATTCTCCTTCCGCCTCAATGAACTACATATAAGTGCACAATAACAATTCACAATCAAATTCAAGCTCGGGTCAAAATCAGTTATACATCAAATCTAACCTCACCACCTCCCCTCCAATCACCGTCCCATCAGTCTCCTCAAGGCCATGGGCAAACTTTTCGAACGAGTCATTCTCGTGCGCTTGAGGCGCCATTTGTTTCCCACAGACGGCGACCCTCTTGTCATCCCACAACAATTCGGGTTTCGAGCCAAACACTCGTGCCCCCAACAAGTTCACCGCACAGTAGAATACATCCTCAGCGGTTTTTACCCTCGCAGTCAAAAAACCATCGCGGTCTTCTTTGACATTGCCAAGGCATTCGACAGAGTCTGGCACGAGGGCCTTCTCTACAAACTGTACGACTTAGGCCTCCCGGACCGTCTCGTTCGCCTTGTAGCCTCCTATCTGAAGGATCGTACCTTTCGTTTTAGACACGAAGGCACGCTATCCTCTACCCGTCAAATAAAAGCCGGTGTCCCTCAAGGCTCTGTGGTTGCTCCCCTCCTATACATACTATTCACCAACGACATCCCTATCCCGTCGAATGGTGTTAAACTAGCCCTCTTTGCAGATGACACAGCCCTTTACTCTAAAGGCAACTCACTACCACAGATTCGGAACAAGATCCAAAAGTCAGTAAGCGACTTAGGAGCTTGGTTCCAAAAATGGCGTATCGACGTAAACCCGGAGAAGATCTCCGCCGTTTGCTTAGAATATAAACGACGTCGTCTCACCACCACTCCGCCAATCAGGATGTTAGGAACCCCTGTCCCATGGCAAACTAAAGCCAAATACCTAGGCGTCACCCTTGATGCAAGGCTCACTTTCGAGCCCCATATCAAGAAGGTTACTCGCACCGCACGTTTTTACACGGGTAGGCTCAACAGCATGTTGGGCAGACACAGTAAAATGTCGCTCCGCAACAAGCGAACCCTATATAAGGTCTGCATACGACCTGTCATGACCTACGCGGTCCCCATTTTCGCACATGCTAAGCTATAAATGAACTTCAAATAGTTCAAAATCTATTCTGTCGTAGGGCCACTAACTCGCCCTATTATGTCCGTAATGCCGACCTACATCGAGACTTAGAGCTCCCAACAATCCAGCAGTTCTTTAAATCACTCTCTGAGTGATTTTTCAAAGCCTCAGAGTCCCACTAAAATCATCTCATTCGTGAGACAGCTGCCTATGCAGCCCCTATCCACACTCGCTATAGTGTGCGCAGACCGCGAAACTCTCTCGCGGACCCCCCCCCAACAAGCTTTCGGCTGACCTGAACTGCCTCCTGGCGGCTCAGGCCGAGCCTACATAACACATCCCTTAATCTGCCTTTGTTAGGCACTCTTCTAAGCGGCTGTTCGCCGCTTGCGCCCCCCTTTGCCAAGGAGGTTCGCGTTCGTATACGGCTTAGAGATCTCTAGTCAGATCGTTAAGCCAATTCCTAAAAAGGTTGGGTTTAGTGGGTAAAAGTCACCACATAACCACGCAGCCGGCTGCGTGGGGTATGCTATGAGCATTCTCAACCTCCCTCCCCCGCTTTCCGGAGGGTTGCCCATTTTATAGTAGCGGTAGTCTTAATCCCAGGTGTTAATATCAATCGTGTAATCTTTAACAGCATGATAATCCTTATTACACAATATTTGCGAAATTAATTTTTACAATATGAGCAGCTAAAACGGAATGTAAACAATTACGTGCAAATAATAAATTATATTAAATATTAAATACGCATATATGCATACGGCAGCGCGGCGGACACTTCCTTGTCCTAAAACCCTCTCAGAAATGAGGGGAGGCCTGTGCCCAGCAGTGGGACGTATATAGGCTGTAACTTTACTTTACTTTATTAAATACGCGCATAAAGCCGTGGTAGCTCAGATGGTTAGCGTTCGCTGTAAATTTCACAGTACGCGAGCAAACCGGGTTCTATCCCCACCGGCACCAATGAAATTGTTAATTGCAATTTTAAGTGCTGGTTTGGCATGTCAGAGAAATGAAAAAAAAATATTTCGAAAACATGTGAAGTTCGCCAACACGCATTGGGGCAGCGCGGCGGACAATTCCTTGCCCTAAAATTCTCTCAGAAAAGAGCGGAGGCCTTTGCTCAACAGTGGGACATATTATAGGCTGTAACTTTAATTTACTTTTACGCGCATAAAACACACATTGATTATCACCAGTGATGATCCAAGTGAGAGTACTAGGTATAGTCATGAAATCATTGCATTTTTCTTCTTCTCTTTTTTTAAAATAAAAACGTTACCCACCAACTATGATTTTCTCGTGTATCGAGGTAGCAGTCTATAAACATTAATTTTATAAGGACAGGATATCTTTCCTTGTGAAAGGAATGAGCCCTTTTTTTTCCGTGTGGGATTCAAACCTGCGACTCTCAGCACAACTCATTGCTAAAGCACTGCGCCATGGAGCCATGAAAACCTTATTGTAATCGGTCGTTAATAAATTTGCAAAATTTCTATGATTCAGACAATCGGGAATTTCATATTTCGGGATATATACGAAGACACAGTCGTCCTGGTGGTAAGAGGATACTGAAGACTATGAACACCTAAATCTATCCTCAGTTAAGAATCAAATGCAAAGTGCGTTGTCAGTTCGTGCCTCGTCTGTAGTAAAAATAATCTCCGATTCTCTTTTTCACTATGACTATTTCACGCTATTCGTTCGGTATAATTCATTCAACCATAGTGTAGGTGCAACATGACTCTACTATGTACTAAAATATAGTTTATAGATCTGTTGGTAGTCTATTGTATTAAAGCCTTTTCGGAATCTGGCTTTAAGAACGTTGTCGCCTAGCTCCACATTCGAGATAGCACACGTTGTCCTTAAAAGTGCCTTTATTCATAAATATCTAACAAGGGGATTTCTTACAAGTAAAGTGTAGTGTATATTACAGAACTTATTATAAAAAAGGATAGCATACTATCTCTTTCAAAATCAATATAATGGTGATAAAATTTCTATCAAGATCCAAAACTATTAAATAAATAGCGCGTGAGAGTAAAAAATAACTTATACGTTTTCTCCGCGTGAGCCAAAATATTAACACAAGCATTTTTATCATCTTTTCTCTTCAAAATAATCTTCATCGGTATGTCGACGAGTTAAAGGAATTTATTATCTTCATACTACAAAGATATTGCGAAATTCAATAAGCAGTTCCAGTTAGACGAGGTTTCTTTGTTCGACGGTAACTGCGGTACTTTTTTTGAAGTTACGAGCACCCAAGAGTGCAGGAATGTCTTCGACGTATGTGAAGCCTTACTTTAATGGATATTGTAGAATGAGCGATACAAAATAGTTGGCTTGGCAAATTACTGCGTTTTCCTTTCTAAACTGATCATGTAAATTCACTTTGAATGCGAGGCGAGAGAAATTCGGTTTTACAGTTGCATCGAAAAGGTCACATTCGTTTAATCAGTATATTTTAAAACATAGTAATACTTCGAGATTGATATCGAGAATAGCACCACGGTACACTCAAAAATAAAACTGATTTTTAATAGAGTTTTGTAATACGTATAACTCTATAAAAATGTAGTTAAAAACAGTTATCATCACCGACCTCTTGTCGACTCTGTTAGTCTCGAATGTTAGATAAAAATGGAATTTTAATAAAAAAGTAAAAGCAAACAAAAAAATAATAACACTTTATGAATTCGTTGCTTATACAAAGTATTATTAGTATATAATTTTAAATTTTTTTTAAAAAATTATTAGTATATATAATTATAAGTATTATATTTCATAATAATGTCCTCTACGGAGACAGAGTTATAGTGTCCGAGTGTATGAGCAAGCATAGGGTACTCTCTATTCTCACACTGGCAAAGGTTGATGGGACTGTAATCTGATATGACCAAACAATAATCAGACGCAGGACAAACGGCTTTATGTGTCTTCCAAGGCACGAGGATGAAATACCGCAAACTTTTTGAATCAGGGCTGTTATTGAGAATTTCATGACTGAAAAGCAAAGCAGCAATTCGAATTCGTCTTAATAGGTACGTTAAGAACTTTTTCCCTATCATGCCACCTTTATGGACGGAAAAAATTCTCATAATTTACATGGGACCACTCGGAAAGTATAAACTATTTTATAAAAGTATAATTGTCCAAATCGGTTCAAAATTGCAACCAAGATGAGTTTTCATGGGACGGAACACTGTAATCTATAAAAAACATCAGATAAATCTTATCGTTGGCATAAAATTTTTGTGAAATATGTAACACGTAAATTGGATTAATTTAATTAATTTTCTATTATGAAATCAGAATTTAATTGGTAGCATCGTACAAAAGAAAGGGCATTTTCAATCTTCTCAAAATAGGCT